TCCAACAAAGGAAAAAATAGGAACAAGATGGAACATTGCACATGGCGAAAGTTCATTTTTCTATTTTCTTGGCTCTTCTTCGTCTCCCACGCTGTTCTCCAATCACAGCATAATGTGGTAGAAGTAGTCCCCTCCTTCTCTTCCCATGAGAAACAACTCTTGTTTGCCTCCGTCTATTCTCTTCTCCGCCATAACAAGTGTCTGTCTTCTGATTTTGTATTGGCTTGTACTGGCCTAAAGGAAAACATTCACACAGCCCCCTAGAACAACATTCCCATCATACAAAATCATTCTAACACAGGACCAATATGGATCCATTTTACATTTATTAACAATTACACAAACCATCTTCATACATGATTAAAACCCACATAATCTCAACCATGACATAGACTACCTATAAAACATATATGTTCTCCTTAAAATTTACCAATTTTGTGACCTATATATAATTTTTCCACATTTGCAATCAATGATCAATATCATGTCCTATATTTTGTGCCCACCTAATCATACATTCTTTTACAATCTCATGTTGCATTTTAGTTTTGAGCAGATAATCATACATTTTCTTAATTACTTTCTCATTTGAACCCAACAAAAATTTATCAAATACCTTTGGTTCTATGTAGAAGCCCTCTATTTTGTCTTTTTTGTACCTAGATTTCATTTGTGTTCTAGACCAGGGGTCCCCAACCCTTGGTCCGTGGCTCAGGACTGGTCCTTGGGCTTCCCAGGACTGGGCCACGGAGATGGATCATTCCATGCCCACCTGCGAGCACAGGAGTGCCCCTGGCCCCCCGCGCATGGAGCCCACCCCCCCAAATGGTCCGTGGTTCCAAAAAGGTTGAGGACCATTGCTCTAGACCACCAGTCTAGATATATATTTTGTACTTCTAACTCTTCTTTGGACCTTACACCACAATCCTTTTTAAATAAATCTTTATATCTTAAGAATTTCGCTTCTGTCATAAGGTTAGGTTGTGTAATGGCTTCTATAGGTGATACCCAGCCTGGTACTGTATTTTTTTTTGGTATATCCGCTGTATGATCTTTTTCCAAGTTTCTAATAAGGCTCTTATTATGTGCATATTGAAACTTTTCTGCTCTTTACCTTTTTTGTACCATAAAAAGCATGCCAACATAACTATAGATCATATCCTTCTAACCTGAGTAGTCTATCATTATCTAAGGTTATCCATTCCGTTACCCAGACTAATACACAGGCTCTATAATACAATGAACAATTTGGGAGACCAAAATCTGCTCTTTGTTTAGCATCTTGCATTGCTTTGGTTTTAATTCTTGGGTTTTTTTTTTACTTTGCCAAACAAATCTCATAATTATCTTCTTAAGTTCTTGGGGAAATGGTTGTTTTAATATCACATGAATTGTCTGAAATAAAAATAAAATTTTAGGTAGAATATTCATTTTGATGGTTGCTATCCTTCCCATCAATGACCAATGATTTATGTCTATTGGAATAAAAAGCATGATCTTTTGTATTTGGGTATCATGTCCTCCAGGCATCTATGATATTTACTTCTTCCACCAATTGTAGAAAATTTCTTGAGATTGTTCTTTTTTTATTATTATTATTTTTCCATTTTTCAGGTGAATTCAGGCCATTTATATTGACTGAAACCATCTTAATTTGTTTTTTGATCATCTTGTTGTTGGTTACCTTTCTGTTTTTTTAAAAATCATCTTCTTGTTGGTTACCTTTCTGTTTTATCTTCGTCATACCTCTTATATGTCTTGGCTCTGCTACTTCCTGGTGTTTTTTTTTGTTTTTTTTTGGTTTTTTTTGTTTTTTTTTTTGTTTTTTGGCTCTGTATCTGCTTCTGATTGTGATGACTGGTCTGGTTTCTTTTGAGGTCTTTCTTCTGATTTTCCCTCCTTCCTTCTTTCTCCCTGCTTTGTCAGTTTCTTCTCATTTTTTTCCATAAAATCTTGGGTCTTCATCAGTGAAGTAGTGAAGTTATAGTGTATTGAATAAACTTTCTGGTGTCAGCCATCTATATGATATTCCATACTGGCGTAGTAAAGATGTAAGGGAGGAGTATTGTTTCCTTCTCTGCCTCATTTGCCAGGAAATTTGTTTTAAGACATTAATTTTTCTGTCTTCTATTATCAATTGTTTATCTTGTATAGCTCTTAAAATCTTGTCTGTAATTGTTTTCTTTGTGAATCTCAAATGGATTCCCCTCAGGAGGTGATTTCTCCTCTCAAACATTGAGCTTACCCTATAAGTTGCCTCAAAAGGGTGTTGCAGTTCAGCTGGTTCCATCCCTATTTCTGCAGCCAGAGCCTTACTCATTAGTATCTCTGGTTCTTCCCCTTCATTTTCTGCCACATTTTGGAATCTAAGTAGCTTCGATGCTCTCTCCATCTCTGGCATTATTAATCTGTCTTCATTTTGTTTTTGATCCTTCTGCATTGCCTCTAGGTTTTTTCTGTTCGATTCACTTTAGCATCTGTTCCTTTCACCTTCTCCTCCAACTCTTGTGTTTTTATTTTATTCTCAGCTATCTGATGTTTAGCATTTGAGATCTGTGACATCTCTTTCATCTTATCTGGCCTTGTTAGCGAGGCTTTCTAAGGCCCACTTGACTTCACTCTCCAGGATGTCTGGCTCAAGGTCAGCAACTACATTGTCTGGGTTGTACGGGATATCCAAATCTTTCTGATATAATTCCTCTGTGTATTCTTGCCACCTCTTCTTGATGTCTTGATGGTGAGGGCATATCACAGGCAGCTGTGGAATAAAATCTTGCTCATCCTCCAAACTGCTCCAAAGGACGTTAGAACTACAGCACTCAATACTCATCTTGAGGAGCACATCTTGACTCTGTTACAGCCAGAGTGTTTACCCCTCCAGAATGAATAATCAAATTACAGTAAGACATGCCATTCGCCCCTTCTTGTGTTGCAGCACAGTCACCACTCACCATACACAATACCTATTAGGTCTGATGGCATCAACTACATCTATCATTCAGCATGCGAGACCGAAGATGAGGTCTCTACGGGTGTGGTACTTGTCCCAGTTCGACCCTCTGATGAGTCATACATCCAAGCGTCTTATAGTGACTCCAGAGTTGGCTCATCAATTGACCTGGTGGACATTCGTACTTCACCTCCTGGTAGGCCGTCCATTCAGGCCTCTCCAGCTCACTGTACAGGTCACAACGGATGCCAGTCCAATGGGATGGGGGACACACTGCGGTCATCAAAAGATCCACGTGTTGTGTTCAAGCTCAGAAAAACTGCTACACATCAATCAACTAGAAATGTTAGCAGTCATCAAATCTTTTCAAGCTTTCCAATTCATGATAGCTGGTGTCACAGACAATATGACCACCCTGTATTACATCAACAAACAGGATGGTACCCACTCCTTGCATCTCCTTCATCTAGCAATCCAGCTGTGGGAATGGTGTTACAATCACCACATCTTCCCAGTAGCTCTTCATGTCACTACAGAAGACAACAAGGTTGCTGACCATCTGAGTCATCTTGACCAACTAGACTCATGAGTGGGCCCTTGATGACAGTGTCTTCTCTCGTCTCTGTAGTTGGTGGGGGACGCCAGGCCTGGATGTCTTCATCACCCAAAGCAACACCAAGTGCAGCGGATACTGCTCCAGAGTGGGGAAAGGAGAAGACTGACTCGGTGATGCCTTCATGGTGGATTGGAAAGATGCTTTACCTGTTTCGACCCATTCCACTCATCCAGAGGACAATTATCAGGATCTGTCAACTGGATCAAGGTGCCATATTAATAGCACCATGGTGGCCTCATCAACAGTGGTTCACCACTCTCAGGACCATGACCTCACACTGAGCAAGTGAACAGGCTGCTCTTTGAGCCTATGATCCATATATTCAATTTTTCCCTGACAAGGTTACATTATATCCAGATGTGTTGTTCCTTCACAAAGTGATATCTGATTTCCACATCAATCAGCCTCTGATTCTCCCAATGTTATTTCCCAATCCATCTTCTGATGTTTAGTGCATGCTCCACTGCCTTGATGTTCATCGTTCCCTGGTATTTTATCTTTCTAGAACCAAGGACTTCTGTGTTTCTCCCAGACTTTTTGTCTGTTTCCATGGCTCACAACAGGGTTCTCCTTCCTTCTCACAGACACTCTCAAAGTGGATTGTCTCGGACATTACACTGGCTTATTAATTGGCAGGCAAGACTCCACCAGAGGTGCTTAAGGCACACTATACTAGAGCGATGGCAACATCTAAAGCTTTGTTGCGTGCCATTGAAGTCCTTTAGAGTCACTTGAAGGCCACTTGATCAACAACCGCGATGTTTGTGACACACTATCATCTTGATGTCAGGGCCAAGAAGGAAGCAAGTTTTGGAAGAGCTGTGCTGACTTCATTATTGGCGTCATGGCCCTCCTTCTGGTAAGTGAGCTTGCTAGTCACCCATTTGTGTGGGTTCACAGAGGCCACGAAGAAGAAAGAGAAGTTACTTACCTGTAACCATAGTTCTTCGAGTGGTCCTCTGTGAATCCACACATCCCGCCCAGCCTCCCCGCTGTCCGTCACTTGTTGTCTTGAGTTTATGTAGGTCAGAGCTTTTGACAGTGGCGGACATTCCAAACTGAGGCAACAGGTGGGCAGAGCATGTGCACCATGGGGCAACGTCCTACTAATAATGTCTTTTAGAATATTTCAAGAAGACCTGCACAGGCGCAGTAAAACCCATTTGTGTGGATTCATAGAGGACCACTTGAAGAACCATGGTTACAGGTAAGTAACCTCTTTTTCCTTTCTATTGCACTGCAATAATTTTTAAAACAGCAAACGGGAAATATTATGTTGGGTTTTAAAGTTTGCTTACTAACTAAACCTAAGTGATAATCTCCACAGCCTCTATTCCATGTCTCATGAAAGCAGTACCAAACCAAACTGGTGCATTTGGAGAACGAACAATACATGGAGAAACAGTAAATCAAGGTTTGTGTTTTCTTCTCCAGGTCTGGCTGGGTCATGCTTGGCTCGATTCAGCACAATGCCCTTTCTGTACTGCAATCCTGGAGATGTCTGCTATTATGCAAGCCGCAATGATAAATCCTACTGGCTTTCCACAACAGCCCCTCTTCCAATGATGCCTGTGGTAGAAGAAGAAATCAGACCTTACATCAGCCGTTGTTCAGTCTGTGAAGCTCCAGCTGTTGCTATAGCTATTCACAGCCAAGATACTACAATTCCACATTGCCCTGAAGGATGGCGCAGTTTGTGGATTGGCTATTCCTTCCTTATGGTATTTGCTTTTTTTGTTGATTGGTATACAAAGATTGGTTTAAATTGCATTTTAACCTGTTTTCCTGTAGGTCCCAAGGTCTCAAATTCAAAGGGACTAAAACTCGTTTCAGCAATTCTGCACTACCAGTGTCTCTCAGATTCTTTGGAGGGCCCCAAAACCAGGCCATTCTCCATGGTGCTTTACTGAGGGATGGGTTTGGTAGAATCAAATAAAGTGGCATAAACATTCATTTCCCAGAGGTATGGGGTTTTTGGGTGCCTTTGGAATGCAAACGAAAACTTATGGCTACCTGTCTCTCTTAGCAGTTCAGCAGCCACAAAATTCCCTCCTAGAGATGGAGCAGTTGCTGGTATACACAGACTGCAAAAGCCCCTACTAACCTATGCATCCTGGCAACTAGAAATAATGGATATACATAATGGGGATGGAATGATGGTTTAGGTATAGTGGGATGAACTGACAGAGAATTGTGCAAACTAAGCCATATCATATAGATTTGTTCAGTTTAGGAAACAGGAACCTGATTTCTTGTCATAAAATGTAAGGAGGTTTTCATACAAAGTACAATAAACACCTTTTTCAGCTGAATCAGAATGCTAAAAAAGCAACAGAGGTGGTAAAAATGAAGAAATCAGTAGTGTGAAAATAGCAATGATCATTCCTGCACAAAAGTGTTTAAGCCCTTTACACTTTGTGTGTGTATATCTTAAAACTGACTGCAAGGATACCTGTGCTGCTCTAGAGGCAGCTGAAGTAGGATCCATTCTGTCTAACTTATAATAAAACATGGTAAAAGAGGTTGACCTGTTTGGTATGTGGCATCTTGCAAAATTGCTTATTGCATTAGACTAATCATGGAAGTAGTTTTTAATGTCTGTTAAGCGCATACGCTTCATACCCCTGGTTTTATTATTTGACTTGATACAGTAGTTGCATTTTCCACAAAGTGCAACTCAAACTGGGGGACAAAACTACATACTCTTAAAAGAGCCAACAGATTGAATTTGCAGCAACAAAATGGCAAGTCCAAAGTGGTTTAAAATGACACCCAATGTGTTACTTTACTGCTGGTTTTTATAGATGCACCGTGTCACGACCCAGCCTCCTGTTGGGGAGCACTTGGTCGGTGGATAGAGAGCCAGGAGGAGTCTGAATCTCCTTTACAGCTGGGTAGAGTCTGGATGACCTCAGCCACGAAGTATTATAGACCCCTTCTCACAAGTGTATCCTAAAAAGATACTTGCTTGCACTTAATTAAGTTCAGCAAGAACATACACGTGAGCTTTGTAGTCGCCAGATCTATCAAAGCTCAGGCAGATAGGACTCTGTAGCATTCTGTGGCCTCACAATCTCTCTGGAAGCAGGCTCAGCAGACTTGCTGTTCAAAAGACCATTCTTAAGGATTTTTAAGATTAATTTTTTATTGAAAAAATAAAGACTTTATAAATATTCAGTTTGTTGTGTAAGCAAAGCATAAGTTACATTTCCATAGATTATTGCAGTGAAATCTAGGCATTATTCACTAAGCAAAAATATAGATAAACATTCCAAAAAGCTTCTTTAAGGGTAGGCATAGGATATAGCCCCCTCTCTTTCTTTCTGAGGTTCTACATTCTAATTCCCTTCAGCCTACCATAATGAAAAAAGATTCAAAATGGCTCCTAAGCCTCTCAATAGACTAAGGCAGTGGTTCTTAACCTTTGTTACTTGGATGCTTTTGAACTGCAACTCCCAGAAACCCCAGTCAGGACAGCTGGTGGTGAAGGCTTCTGGGAGTTGCAGTCCAAAACTCCTGAGTAACCCAAGGTTAAGAACCAGTGGACTAAGGAACAGTCCACATGGCACAATCTCCATTTTCTACTCTCGAAGCACCACCCTTCTTCTCTGTAACTTGAGGTGTTGACCAATTGGCAATTAGGACAGTTCGTTCTCATCATACCTTCTGTTCCCAAAAGAAATCCAGGTGTTGTTTTCCTTCTCCTCGTCTCAGTCCGGATCCAGACAACATCTTGTGACTTCATTCCTGACATGGCTGGGTACAATGAACTTTCCCATTGGCTCATGAAGAAAACATTCCCATCATACAAAATCATTCTTACACAGAACCATTATGGAACCATTTTATATTTCCTCACAATTACATAAATCATCTTAGTACTGTACATGCTTTTGATCCACATAGACTGGATCATGACACACCGCAGCTTCTGGCAGTGCAAAGGCCATCCTTTTTTTCCCCAGCAGTTGTTTGCATGCCTTTCCCTACCTTCCCCATTTTCCACCTTCTCTCTTGCGCCAGCATTTATTTGATTCTCCCCTTCTTTGCACCTCTTTTTGCATATGTGGATGGGTGATTCCTTTTTCTTTAAAATCACATATCTAATGTGGACATAAGTTACAAGTGGGGCTGCACCTTCTGCAGCAAATACACTTTCTCTAGTTTATTGCAAATAATTTATTTATTTTTAAATATTTATTTAAAATACAATTTGCATCATTAAAAGAGATTATTTAAAGCTAAGAAACAGCAAGTATATAAATACAAAAAGGATCAAATTCTCAAAGCACATTCAAAAGCGACCTCAAAAACATATTCAAAGCAACAAGGCACAAAAATCCATTTTAAAAACCCTCTCAGACAGACATTAACTAAGGGAAAGCTTGTCTGAAGAGAAAGGTCTTTGCCTGCTTGTGGAAGGATAGTAACAATGGGAGGGAATAGCAACAGAGAAGGCCCTCTCTCATGTTACCACAAAACATGTCTGTGAAAACAATGGGACTGAGAGAAAGGCATCCTCTGATTATCTTAACACTTGAGCAGGCTCATAAAAGTATGGTCAATAAAGTTACAAAAATCTTATAACAGGAACATTTAAAAACCAGAGGTTTTTCAGTTCAAAATATTTAGAGAACCGTGAAATGAGCAGCCATAGTAGGAATTCCCCCCCCCCAAACAATAATACTTCCCAACTGTGGAAAAGGACAGTATTATTCTTATTCTTAGCACTGAGAGCCAACAGCTTGACTTAAGACCAAAAGACTGAGAGACTCCATGAGAGTACTTCTATGATATATTTTTTAAAAATGTAATCTTGAATGCCTGTTGAAAAATCACTTATATGCATGGTGTCGCACACCCCCAGCTCCCCTGTTTGTTTTCCCTAATACCCAGGTTTGCCTTTGGGCACGACTTTTTCTTTTCTTCCTTTTTATGCTGCCACCGGAGGATCTTCTCCTCACTACACCAAATATGAATAATGGTTCAATGATGTAAAATATAACAATGTTTATTTATAGGTTAATAGGTAAATCACATAAGGAAAAGCATGGATGGTCTTGTATTATTCATTAAATGTGCTTTGGACTTTAGATATGTTTACTTATATAGATTCACTTTAATCATGGTGTTACACTATTCAAATCATTTCTTTTATTTCTTATTACTTTTAACTCCTTCAGTTCTCAAATACACCAACTTTCCAAGTCCTTGTCCTAATCCTAACCTAACTGTCTTAACGTTTTTCACAATCCCTCTATCTCTGTCTCTTCTTCTCTCTAACTCTCCAAATGCCCTAACTGTCCCAAACTGTCTTTTTTTCTCCCCTAGTTCTGTTGATTCCGCCCCTCCTGTCCTGTCATAGGCTCCCACACCAGAACTCTAACCTGACAGACAGGAGTGATGTGTGAGCTGTCCGTCACACATGGTAAACCATTCGTTAGTCCATGAGGACTAAATTGCCTTTCATGGTTGGGATTAGCAATCTCCATATACTGAAACTGGGTTATATTATTAATGCATCACTTGCACAAATAGTGTCATTTTCTGAAATGTTAATAGTTACATCTTAGAAGACCTCACATTATGTGAAGTTTCAACAAGCCTGCTCCCTACTCTGCATTTCCCTTTCCTTAACATCATCAGGCACAGACTCCATCCTGATACCAAAAGTTGTATTTGTTTCACCATGCATTTGTTCTTTTTCTTTTTCAACAACAGATAAACATAAAGCTTCCCACTTGGGGTTCCATGGTTCCTTTTAAACACTTTCCAAACTGGTCTCTTCATTCTTAATCAGTCAACCGGTAGCAACATGTTTCCCACTAACAGCATGGAAACCACATCAACATTTACAGATGGGTTCACTTGTGAAAAATCCACTCCATCTTGGGTTCCCAAACATGTCAGCCCAGGTCTTTACAGACTCTGTGTGGAAGCTAGGTCTTTCCAGGTCTGCTTGGAGGGGAACTTAAACATCTCCTGTTTTCCAAGTAATTGACTTCAAGAGCAAACCTCTCTCTTTTTCCCTTTCTTTGTTCTCCTTCTTCACTTCTCCACTCCCTCTGTTTTACCTCTTTTGGCACCTTGAGGGTTACCCACTCCCTGGAATGTGAGTGGTCTTTTACGATTCCAACCCACTCTTCTTTTTCAGTTGTCTCCTCTGACACCCAACACTCTTCCGCCATTGCCTCACCTTCCTCTCCTCCCTTTTAATGTTCCTCCTCTCCCAACTGCCCCTTCTTCCAGCCATTTGTTTCCCGGATTTTTTCCATATTTAAACCAAAACTCCCTGACATTCTGCCCATTAGTTCTTTTAGTCCATCAGTTGTAATGTCTGTTATTTTCCTAGGAGGAGATGGCACATCTCCTTTCTCTACTTCTGTCTCACACATTATTAAATGTTCTAAAACAGTGGTTCCCAACTTTGGATCCCCAGATGTTCCTGAACTAAAATTCTCAGAAGCCTTCACCACTAACTATACTGGCCAAGATTTCTGAAAGTTTATTTTTATTTATTTATTTTATTAGATTTATACCCCGCCCATCTAGACAGATAGTCTACTCTGGGCGGCATAATAAAGTTTAAAAACAATAAAACCAATAACATACGAAAATCCAAGATGTA